TTCAGAAACCGTTGGAATTTTTCAGATAGCGCTACGTGTGGCGGAATTACGGTACTGCAAATTTAGATGTGTCGCCGCCGACACGTTCCGGTCCAGCCTGGAGACTAGTTTGGTTGAGGCAGACTGTTTGGTCAAAAGCCGGAAATCTGGCCCCCTGCCGGAGCTCTTTAAGCCCTGTATTTTATTTAAAAGGTGCTTTGAGGGCACATAATGTCACTTTTACAAAAATAAAAATGTATTTTAAAGAAAAAAAAAATCAATTAAGATGGTACAAATGCCTGTTTGAACAGTAGAGCCTTCAGCCGGGATTTAAAGACAGCGTGTCAGAGAGTCCTTTGAGTAGGGAAAGTGGACGTTTATTCTAAATAGTAGAATCCTGTGCATGAATTGTTCATTTACAGAAAAAAGTTGCTTTATGTCCAAAAGGCGCATTCACAAAGCGAGCGGCTCGATTGAAGGATGACTGCAACTGGACTGGTACCGGTACCACACGGCTCTCTAAGTTTTGCTCAGAAATCCAGAATGATCAGTCTGAGCAGTCTCAACGCTCATAAACCATCACTTCCCAGCAGATCAATATGATCTCTGATCAATTGCTCCCTCTGAATCCTTCCATTACGCGGCACACCTTATATGCTCGCAGCTACTTATAAATATACGTGTTTGACTACACACCTTGATCACCTTAAAAATAATCAAACCTGTTGATTATTTTTACTCAGCAGGTTTGAGTTAATCTGCTGATCCAACCATGTTTTCTTCTTTTAGTGAGAATGAAATTACCCCGCAGATGCATTCCATGCGCTTCAGCACACAGACCAACATTACATCTCTATGAGACAAAAACTGAGGAAAAGCACTATTTTCAGTGAAAATAAAATAAAAATAAAAGTATATAGTACCTTTATTTTCTTTATTTTGTATGCGTGTTAGCTTGTCTGAGGATAAATGCGGTTCCGTTTCGTTTACATTTAAATAAAATATTAAAATCATGAAAAACATCGGGTTTGATGCTTCTTGTTCTAAATAACACTGAATGTAGTCAGACTTAAGTGCATTTAAGTGAATTTTGACTCTTTGTAGTTTGATATTGTCCGCAGAAAGTTTGCGTGGCTGTCGCACATTTTCACGCCAGTGAAAAAGTGTGCGTATATTTTTGCAAAGGTTGACGCAATGTTAATGTTATACATGCCGACTTGTGTGCAACGTATGGCACCGCACATTTTTTGTGCTCATGCTGCTTTATGCATGAGGCCCCTGATGTTCTCCCAGCTGAATCTTTTTTTTAGTCATGTGTTTCCCTTTCCAACCATGTACAGATCTGTAGCAAGTTTCACCTCTGACGTCAACTCATTAATGGTTAGTCTTCTCAGTTCCAACCTGTTCATCATCTGACTCAATACAATATCAACTTAGTTTTCATTTTGTCCAAATTTAAAGAATGTAAGCTTTTCTGGAAATCAGGTTGCCTACTGAGATTACTCTGAATGTGACAACGATTTTTACTGAAAATGTGTTTAAAGCTGAATAATGAGGCAGTCTAGTTTGATTAAAATGAGAGCGAGTAAAAATGATCTAACCTACAAATGGAAATGCCACTGATAAGAAGCAACGGTCATTTAAAACAGGTTTGTTAACATAAGGTTCCTGCACTAGGCTGAGGTAGTGTGCATAATCCAGTTTTATTCTATTACACATAGATAATTGTACAGGCTTCAAAAAGTAATAAAAGCAACTCCTAAATCTCCAGGAGAAAAAACAAAGTCAGTTCTTTCCCACTTGTCCAAATTGATGGATGATGATTTTGTGGGTCTAATAAGATGTCTGCTGTGCTGCCACTGGTCACGTCTTCCTCACTTCTTCAGAACAGTCGAAAAACTGGAAAAAGAACAGCAAAAAAGAAACTAAAATCCAGGGTTTTCAATCTCTGATTTTGCTCCTTGAACCTTAGATTAAGATGTTTGACAGGTGATGAAATCAAAGGGCAGCTGCAGGTGGGAGAGACCAACAGGTTAGGCATCAGCTTACAACTTCATTAATGACACCCTTATATTAAACTTTCGAAGATGAGCCTCAACATTTAAACTCTAAAGCCAGAAAACATTTGTGATGCCATGTGAGAGGAAATAAACATGTTGCTACGCTTTTAATCCTTAAAGATTCTTCAGGTTTTACTTTGTTGACTTTCTGTTAACTAGGAAGGATTCAGAATGAAATGGGAAGCAGAAGTTAGAGATATGATAAAGAGTCAGATAGGTAAAGCAGAGTCTGGCAGTGGAACCTACCTGTTGAAGGACGTCTGATCTTGTAGATTCAGAACCAAACTGTCAGCATTAAGGTACACTTTGTTCTGAGATGCAGACACCTAGAAGCAGACACTCTACTTAGCATAATTCATCATCAGCAAAGCTCCTGAAAAGGCTGATCACACCAACCGTCTTAGCAATGTTCTGAGCTGCTCTGATTCTCCTCAGCTTCAGGTAACCAGGGTTCTTGGTCACAGCTTGGCCCAACTGAGAGAGAGACCAATTAGTTATTCAACATAAGCTCAAGTGTAATGCAAGGTCAGAAACACACAAACACAGTAAAACTGACCTTTCACATACTGAGATGTAAACATGTCACTATTCTGATCAAGAAGGTTGTTGAAAATGCCTTCAGGTAACATTACACTGAACTAATCAAGTCAAAGGCCAATTATTAAGCACTTAGAAGTATGTAACCTTTATAAAAAAAATGTTTTCTTACATGTTTGTAAAAACTGTTACTATGTCATGACAGTATAATATGAGATCCATAATCTGTGAGAGGGGGAGGGAAAAAGTAAATCAAGCTCCTCCACCTCCACCTTATGTTACTATTAGCATCTGCAATAGTAGATGCTAATACACCACCTGGTCAAAAACAACCAATCAGAGACAAGAGGAAGTTCGTGCTGGTGTATGCGCTGCTAAATGTGCTACCAGCAGATAAACAGCTTACTATTCCAGAAAACTTTATCTGTCGTCATCGGTTGCTATGCTAACTAGCCTGAGCATTGATGACGGGATCTGCTCTGGGGAACTAGTGTAGCAGAGAGAAGTGGAACTGAGTGTGAGCAGTGTGTACACAAACATGATTGACAGTGTAAAGGCCCTCCTCCTGACTGATTTATTTTTAATAAAAGTAACACACTGCAGCTTTAACAGCAACTAAAGATGACTTGTGGATGTTGAGCGAACATCCAGTGTTGGTCTCCATATTAAAAACAAACACAACTGGATCTGCTTCAGTTCAAATTCAGTTACCATTTTAGCAGCTTCTGCCTCCCCCTCCGCCTGGATGATCTTCTGTCTCTGGTCCTGTTTGGCTTTCTCTACGTAGAACTGTGCTCTCTGCGCCTCCTGCTGGGCTAAAAGTGCACAAGCAATACTTTATAAACTCCTCTCTTTTTGGTAGTACTGTATAGCCTGGTGTTCTCTTCCAGCAGATTGTAGGAATTGAAATCAAGTGCTCATTGCTCACTTAATCTGAATATTTTCATATCATGTTAAGTCCAACAGTATTCATAACCCTGGCAGAATCGGAGTTTAAATCTAAGCTAATTTAAGTAAGTGGAGGATCAGTTGTAAAAAAAATATGTTTCTGTTTTTATTTATACTTTGTGAAAAAGGCAAGGCAGATTAAAAATGTATAACATTACAGTTGGAAAAATCTCTATTGGCATTACTCTTGTATATCTGAGAAGCTTTCTTAGATAAAGAAAGGTTTTAAAAGATCTATGTTTAGTGATGCGCTCCATACCATGGAAAGTCTCCATACCAAAACCCTCATCTTTAGCTCCCTGCACATATTCAGGACTCAAGTTGGCCGAATTGGAAAAGAACTTTAAACCTAAATCTGAACAACTTTGGTCCTGATTGTATAGAAACGCGTATGAGTGGCTTCATTTCCCTCCAGTGTCAGTAGAATGTTAGCCAACAGGTCCAGACTCACCAACTTGCTTGGCCTCCACAGCAGCAGTGTACTGGCTGCTGAAGCTCAGCTCTGTGATGGCCACATCATCCAGAATGATGTTGAAATCCTTTGCTCTCTCAACAAGCTCTCTGCGCACCAGCAGGGAAACCTGGACACCAACAACAGTTTCAACTGGGCAGCAGAAAAAGCTAGGCCTGCACCAAAACCTGACCTGCTGATTCTAATTTTGGCCAATACCAATTTTTTTCTGAAAAGTTACTAAATATAATGACAAAGGCACTAAACTAACAGTGCAGTGACTTGTTAACATGCAGACGTGACCTAGTCAGTCAGTCTGTCCTCTCGCTGCAGAGTAAAGAGAACAGCAGACATTTGAGGATCAGACTGGTTTTTCATGCAAGTATCAGCTGATCATCGATCCCCCAAAATGAAGGGAACTGGGCCGATTTGTCGGTGCTGCAATATGAAACAGCAGGCAGCGTGGGAACCAGGAGCACCTGTGCTCTCTGTGTGATGAGCTGTGAAGCGTTGAACTTGGCCACTACAGATTTGAGGACTTCATTGACGATAGAAGGCAGAACTCTCTCGTCGTAGTCCTTCCCTAGTTGTTGGTACATTACAGGCAGGCTGGACGCCATGGGTCTGGACAACACCCGCACTCCAATATTCACCATCTGCAGATCTGCACAAACACAAATATCCATACTTGTCATATTTCTACCGACATGAAAGAAAAGCAGGAAACAGTAAAAGCTATCCTAAATAATGGTGTTGAGGTTCATCTGCAGAAACCTTCCATGAACTTTATGGTTTAGATTTCTACAGCTTGACCTCAGAGAGACTGTTACTATGACAACACAATCCATGATGTGTAATGCTGCTTACTTTTTAATTTGCTACATGAATAAAGCTAAAATGTAACTGGCCTGTGTGTGTATACAGAGGCAGAGTAGTGCTGAACTGTACTGACTGGGACCATTTCTAAATCGAATTCCACTAAACTATAACTATCAGTTCTTACAGGAGACAACATCCATCCATCCATCCATTATATTTATCAAACACTATAAAACATAATAAGCTCTTAATGTAGAACAAGTACTACAGTATGTTGTATTAAACTTTAGTAACAAAAGTCACAAGATTTCTACTTTGCTGAAGAACACAGAATGTAACTGAGCAGCAGTGTGTAGGTGTGTATTCAGTGCTTATCACCTTTGCTTCCAGTCAGTGAGGAGATTTTACGAGGTTTAGCTCTAATGTCATAGATGATTGGATACTGGAACCACGGGATCCTGCAGCATGGACATTAGAACGGTGCTGTTTGAAATCTGTCGCAGCAAACACCAACACATCAACTAAACCGTATAAAACTGTGTCATTAAACTGAAATAACAATTGTAACAAATAGTAAATTATTTAAAATACATTGTGTAAATTATTTAAAATTGTAAATTATTTAAAATTGTAAATAGAAATATCTAGGCCAGTGGTACTTAACCTTTTTTGAGGTACTGAACCCACCAGTTTCATATGCGCATTCACTGAATCCTTCTGTAGTGATAAATGAAATATGATTTTTTCCTCCAAATTCAAGACATAGGGGTCACTAGGTCTTCTTAAAAG